AGGCTTGTAAGAGGGCAGCAGAGGTGGTGGCATGGGCAGCAGGGGACAGCACTGACTTGCTGCCCAAGGGTTTGAGCTATTGAGAGGGCCACACACCCAGGGTAACTAGTGTAGACTGGAAGCACCAGGAGTGTCCCCAGCCTGCCCTGCACCCACCATGGCTCAGGATGCGCAGTAGCAGGGAGCAGGCACAAAGCTGCAGGTCGAGGATCCTCTCATGCAGCTTCATAGCGGTGACCACCACCTCCACCAGCCCCATGGGCCACGGCAGCCCTGGTGAGGTAGGAGGCACAGGTGAGGCATGTGGGAGTAGACCTGAGACCAAGAGACCACTGGGATTCTACAAGACATCAGAGGGGCCCCAGGTAGGTGAAGAGGAGAGCAAAGATGATCTGTCCACACGTGCATGGAGTGCTCAAGGCCTGCCAGGGGACCCTGCTGGGAACCAAGCCCAGGGCGTGCATGCTGTATCCCGTCTCCACCTCGGAGCTTCATCCTCTCAGTGTTTTTTTGTTTTGTTTTGTTTGAGGTGGGGTCTCAGTATGATACCCAGGCTGGTATCAAACTCCTGGGTTCAATAGATCCTCCTGCCTCAGCCTCCAAGTGCCAGCACCACAGGGGCACGCTATCTTGAACTTCTGGCACCACGAGGCCCTCCCAGCCCTTTCCTTGTCAGAAGAGCATAGGTGACTTTGGTGAGGGTGCAAGGACAGATGAGGCACCCAGGACACGAAGCCATGGTGAACCCTTCCAGAAGCTCGCTGAGGCAGGCATGGCTCCAGGTGGTGGGAAGAGCCCAATCTTGGGTAAAGGGCCCAACTGTCTCCATTTTACAGGAAGGCAAAATCTCCCTCTGAGCTTTATCCTGGTTATAGCTTAGCAGCACGTGGGATCTGGCTTTGGGGGCAATGGCCAGTATGAGTCGCCTACTGCCTTGCTAGGAGGCCGCAGTTTGCCTCCATAATCCCCAAAGCCTCAGCCACTGGGACAGTCCTCAGAGGAGTCTTAGTATATGTCTAGTGGATATAAGGTGGATGGATGGAGAGGTGGGTGTCTTAGTGGACAGAGGGAGAGGGGGATGGAAGGAGAATGGACAGATGGACAATGGACAGGTGGGTGGAGGGAAGATGGATGAATGGCTGGATGAAAGGGGGATGCATGGACGTGTCATATTCAAGCAGGAGAGATAGGTTAGGCAGAGAGATTCTATAAAAGCATGTTTTACAAAATCATGGATACAGGGGTGTTGTGTTCTGTGGTACACAACAGGCAGAATGTCAGTGTGTCCATGGTTGGCCATCACTAGGACTCATCCTGACACCAGAGCTCACCCTATAGGAGCTCTTGGGGGCACATGTGCACAGGCAGTGGTCTGTTGGGTGCAGTTCATGGAGTGGAATCTAAGAAAACTCCAATGCCCACCATAGGGTGGCTGGACAGATGGGTACCTTATTATGGACCCCTTAAAAATCAGGTGAGGCCACCCATCCCCACCCTTCTCTGCCTGGCAGAAGAGGCATGGGAAGAATTCCAGACTGCTTCCTGTCCAGGCAGATAATAAGGCACAGGACCCCCCTGGGAACGTGAACAGGCCTCCAAGGTGTAAGCAGCACTGCTGGCAGCCGGGGAGGGGAGAGGCAGGGCTGTACCTAGCTGGTCCTCAGGTATCTGCAAAAGCCTCTTCATGGCCTTGAGCTGAACTTCAGGACGGCTGGGGAAGTTCTCCATGGCCTCTGTAGGGAATAGGGAGGACATAGGGACCCTGCTGGGGCCCAGGTCTCCTGGCCATGAGGTAGCGTTCTTATCCCTACTTCACAGATGAGGCCACTAGGACCAAGTGGTTGATCCAGAATCGAGCCAAGTCTCTGGGAACCATCCCGAGTCTCAGTGTGTGCTGCCCTCACCCTGGCTCGCAGGATGCACACTGGCTAAGTGGGGACACTCAGGGACCACTGTGTGCCAGGGTGTGGACCCACAAAGGCAGGGGCTCTAGGGGGGTGGGCAGCAAGGAGCCCGTGTAGCCTTGCAGAGGATTTGTGTAGCAAATGATGGTAGGCACGTGGGGCCAGACTGAGGAAATGGACTTTGTGCTATAGGTGATGGGGGCTATGGAGGGTATTTAAGCAGGGCAGTCTTGGGATGGAGTGGAGGTGGAGAGCTTGGAATGTTCCTGCACCCTGGCCATGAATGAGGAGGGGGTCTACTGGACTGGGTAGTGGGGAGGCACCAGCCAAACAATGGGCTGCCAAGGCCAAGGACAGCTCCCAACACACCCCATGTCCCCACCATCACCTAAGATGCTGGTGACGTTGCCTTCTAACAGTATGTTGGTGATGATCTCGGGCACCACCTGCTGGTGCAGGGTCATGGCCACACATGAGGACTTGAATGAGCCACTCACAAAGGTCATACGAACCACATCCCTGGCAGAGGAGCAGGGAGAGCCAGCTGCACCAGCTGCCTCCCCCATGGTGTCCCATGCACTGCCCCTCTGCCTTGGGCTGAAGGCTGCTTGTCAGTGGACGAGCCCTGGACACTGGCCTTCCCTTTCAGATCTGCTTGGCCAAATCTCTTCTGATGTGCTATGTGTCCAGCCAGTGCCCTGGCAATCCCACTTCCAAGGACCTTCCCTGCTAAGGCTCAGGGCCCCAGAGGAGTCCTGATCCTTGTGCTTTTGCCTTCTGGGCCCCTTCACGGAGACATAGCATCAGATTTGATGACTATGCTGGTTTAGAGGTCAATACAACCCATGCAGGGTTCACCTTTTCCTTCTGATTTTGAATTAGAATGGACATTTTTTTCCTGGAGCCTGAGAAATACCAAGGGTCCTGGGGCTGAACCACCTGTACCTGCTGGAGCCAGGCCCACTGTGCCAGTGTGCAGAGATGTGCAGTCCAGGTGGCTGGCTGCCAAGTGATTTGGGACAGCCACAATGCTGGGAAAAACCCAGTTATGCAGGGGGAAATAGGGTGGAGCCAGCAGCCACGTCTGTGTCGGGTGGAGAGATGCTGAACGAGCCTGCTAGGTTGAAATAAAACCCAACCCTGAGCTCACTTGATTGTTATTCGATCCAAGGGGTTGATCTGCAACATTAAGGGCAGGAGGGAAGAGAAGGTTTCTACATCTGGGATGTGTTTCTCCTCCATGGTCTTCAGGATGGCTTTCAGGCTGCCAGAGTTCTGGCGGAGGGACTTCCGCAGGTACATGGCTTCTGTAGCCTACCAGAAGAGAGGACACAGAGTTTCTGCAACTAAGTGAAAGCCAGAGTAAGACCACAGGCAGAGGCCACAGGAGCCTTGGAGCTCCTCCATGAAGAAGAAACGGAGGTTCAGGGAAGCAAGAGAGCCATCTCATTGAGTGGAGAGGCAGGCAGGGGACCATGTGCCTTGTCCATTTCTGCCCAGAGGCCCTTATCTGGACCCAGCTGACAAAAACGCTCTTCGTGCCCATTAACAGAAGCAAGTGCCCAAGGTCACCCAGTGCCAGGGAAGCACTGGAGCCCAGACCCTTCAACACAGCACATAGCCTGGAGCAGAAGGGCCCTCACTCCCCTGGAGTCCCTGTAGGAAGGGAGCAGCAAGGTGCTCTCAAGCTGAACTGGGCCATCTGGGAGATAGTGGGGATGCTGAGGCCCAGCCAGCCACCTGTGCTCTCTGGATTCCCTGTGACTGGTGATGGACCTAGGTGGCCAGTGGTATGTCCTTGTTCTCAGGGTGCAGCAGACACTGGACTTCTCTTTAGTGTGTAGATACGATGTGGCAAGGCTCAGCTCCCCTGCCTCCCTAAGTCAGGGTGGCCAAGGGGCCATACAAGGTGCCCTGGCCCTTCCTTGCCCCTCCTTCCTGTCCGCAGGCAGGCCTAGCACAGATGAGAGCAGGAGCCACACGCTAGGACTTGCAGAACAGAGAAGCGCCACACACGTGCAAGCTTGTGTGACACACAGCCCCGAGTGTTCCTGCCCAGTCTCCTGAGCTGCAGCCACAGGCACCCCCGACTCTAGGGTGCCTGGACCAGGGTTTCCTTGCTGCCAGGGGCAGGGCTGAGGGCCCACAGCCACCAAGTGAGCACGAAACCCTGCTGCCTGTCTCCTCTCAAGGGCTCCCTGTGCCTGCATGGAGCAGAGTGTGGGTGCTGACGGGAAGCAGGGCGAGGGCCCGCCTCTCCCTGGAAGGCAGCTTACATTCAGGAAGGAGCAGCTGGCCATGTCGAGCATGATGCAGCCCAGGGACCAGACGTCAGACATCTGGCTGAAGGTGAAGTCCAGGGCTTCAGGGGCCATCCAGGACTTTTGAAAGGGGTCTGTTGGCAGGAACAAGGCAGGGATCCATTGAGTCCTATGTCCCCTGAAGGGGCAGAAGAGCAGAGCCACCCTGCCCAACACTGTCTCCTTTTTGGTTTCCACTTGCAAGCAGCTAGAAATATGAGCCCTTCAGTGGCCCTTCTTGGGTGAAGCAAGAAGTATAGCTGTGGGCAGTGAGGGGTCCCTCCTTGCTCAGTTAGACCTTCACCTTGACCTTGAGCCAGGGAAGCCATCCATACTGACAGGAAGCCATCCATACTGACAGGTGTCTGGCAGGCTGGCCCACCTGTGGGCATGTCTGTGCCCACAACCGCTGTAGAGGAGCTGCCAAGCATATGCCAAGCAACTAGGATGTATACCTCTTTCAACATCCTTCCCTCCACACGTCAGGACCCTGGGGCAGAGTCCCAGTGAACCCCAGAGGAGACAAAAAGAGCAGGGTCCTCAGGCTGGTTTGTCGGCCTCCAGCAGCCCTTCCTTCTCTGCACCCCATTTCCCAGCCACACAACAAAGGTCTGGACTCTAAAACCCACGCCAGGATCACCTCCCACCAGTCCACCCCTCCACACGCTCACCTCCATCATCCGTCCATCATCTGTCCACCCAATCCAAGGGCAGAGTGCCACCAACCACTGCCACCCAGGACTCTGGTTCTGCACGTGCTGTTACAGGCTTGAGGCCTGCCTCCCTTCACACTGTTCCCCTTTTGAATTAAGAGAACTTGCTCCCTGCAGCCCTCCACTATCTCCTGGGCCATCTGAGGACAGCGCTTGAGTCAGCAGGCCCTCCCCACTCCCCATTCTAATCTTCCTTTGGGGGCTTTCTCCTCGACGAGGTTTACGTTTTCAGGGGTACCCAGGTGACTGCTCTTTCCTTGGGGCTGTTTTCTCCAATGGCCCTGTCTTTTGACCTTGTGTCCGTTCCCCATGAGGGACTCTTGCTCAGGCACAACCAGCCAAAGGGAGCTCTGTGGGGACCTTCTAAGCAACGAGCTCAGCCCTGCCTTTCTCGCTGCCCATCCCTGCCTGTCTCCAGCCACCCTCTCCTGCCTCCTGGGAGGACCCCAACCACCTTCCTCCGCACGGACATTCCACTTGGCTCTGTGGGTCATCAGTGCGTTGGAGCTCAGGTCCTGGAGTTTGCAGTGGTTTTTACTGACCAGGCTGATGTTAGAAGGCTTGAGATTCCTGTGAACAAGAGATGGGGGTCTGGCGCTTCTGGGCTGCCAGGGGACCTTCCCCTGGGACAGCACCTGCCCTGAGCCTAAGTGTCCCACCACCCCCCCACTAGAAAATTCCTTCTCCTGCTTGGCAAATGATTATTTCTCATTCACATAAGATCTTATCAGTTGTTTTAAATTGGGGAAGAGCCCTAGTACAGTGGGCACACCCAGCTATGGAGGCCCCAGTTAACCTGGTGTCCCTTCCCACAGGTCCTGGCTCCCACTGGTCTGAGAACTGATTGTCCACCATTCTGTAAGACCCACAGTGAGGCCTCACTCGTGTTCACTTCATACACACAGCCCATGTGCTTCTCTCCCCAGCCCCTCCCACAGGGGCCTTGGAGCCTGAAGCCGTACCACTGGCAGCTTGAAGGCTGGACCTATGGTGCAGCAGCCCATGCTGGCCATCCAGAGGCTATGCCATGACAGGCAGCCTCACCCGTCCTCCAGGTGTCTTATCTGCTTCTTCTGTTGCACTTTAGAGCCACCCTGCCCAGGCCATAGCATATCATGCAGCTGTGCATTGTGGGGTGAGTCACTCAAGGCGGCAGGGAAGGGCCCTGCTCCCCTCCCTCAGCCAGGGAAGGTGCCATCCTACTGGGTCCAGATCTTGCCCAAGGGTGCTGGTACCCGGGCAGCTGGCCACCCCTAGGAAGAGGACTGTCACCTGTGGATGATGCTCAGCTGGTGCAAGTACTCCAGAGCGTCCAACATCTGACCCAGGATCTCCTGCATCCACTGGGGAAAAAGCAAGAGATGCCAGCAAGGGGAGGGGCCTGGAACTTCCTGAGTGGGATTCCATGCAGCTACTGTTAGGCAGGCGCCAGCTCAGCAGTCAGCAGGACAGGGGCACACTGCAGACCCCAGTGCCCAGGGGCTTTGACCCTACGCCCTGCCTCCAGCAGCCACCTGTGGCCCGTTGCCCCATGCCTGCTCGAGCTCTTGGCATGCGGCCCTTGTGGGTATCTGACATGTTAGAGCCTGCAATGCCTGCTTGGGCCTTGCCCCTTCATGTTCCATTAGAGTGAAAAGAGCCCTGAAAGAGAACATTCTAGAAGCATTCTGTGTAAGAAACAAGCTGCATCTAGTGTCCAGGGCAGTGATTTTTCAAACTGTGTTCCTAGGACCCCTGGCTTCCACACTGGTGCCTTAGGCCACCCCAGGGTGTCAGGGGCTGGGCTGCAGGGCCCTAGCTTCCTCCTAGCCCTGGAAGAGCGGCAACATCTATGTTCCAAAGGGCCCCACTGCACACATGTACAAAGCCACCATGGAGTGTGCCTCAGAGGCCAGGTCACCAGAGGAGCTGGGTACCCCTGAGCCCCGTGGAGAGATGGCACCAAGCAGAGGAATACTTTGAGAAAAGCAGAATGCATCTAGGCTGGCCCAGACCCAAAGGTGAAAGTGAGAAGTGAGCAAGCTTCGAGAAGGAAACAGGAGGTGGGAGGAAGGCTGCCTAAGCCAGGGCTCAAGAGACACTGGCCAGAAGGGATGACACTGATGCACCAGACTTCATTATGATGAGGACCTTTGCTGGCCGCAAGACACTGCTAAGAAGGGGAACTGGCAAGCCATGGACTGGGAGGAGATCTCTGGATACCCTGTCCAGATTAAAAAATAAACAAACTACAAATCATTAGGAAAAAGACCCTGTAAGTGTTGAAATGAACAAAAGTACTTGAAGAGATTCCATGCCCAGACTGTCCTCACCACAATCACTCTGCAGGCCAGCCATAATGGAAACTCACTCCCAGCCTCCACAGCAACCCCGAGCCGACTGGAACCTCGCGGTGCAGTAGAGCAGCCTCACCCTGGGAACCACCTGCACCACCCTCCCAGGGCTCACACCAGCTTTTCAGACAATTCCACTCCTCCACAGCAGCCTGACTTAAAATGGCCCAAGCCAGAAGCCACCAAAGGCCCATCACTGCCTCAAAGGTGACCAGAGGAGCACCGGAGGGCGCAGAGGGATCTGGTGGGCCCGAGGAGGAGGGATGAGCAAGGTTGGCTCCCCAGCCAAGCCCTTTGGAGTGAACTTCAGGAGTTGCATGATGACAGTCTCTGGAGGCAGGTGGTGGCTGTGGACCTCTGGTTTTGGGAACAGCTCTGGCCTCCTCTGGAGGCTAGAGGCAGGTGTGTGTAAAGTGTCAAGATGTGGACTTGAGGGGCTGGGGATGTGGCTCAAGCGGTAGCGCACTCGCGTGGCATGTGTGCAGCCCGGGTTCGATCCTCAGCACCACATACAAACAAAGATGTTGTGTCTGCTGAAAACTAAAAAATAAATATTAAAAATTCTCTCTCTCTCTAAGAAAAAAAAATTGTGGACTTGAGGTGGACTTAACGCACCCCTCACACGCTGGGCAACTACCCTCCCCTCTGCCTAGGCTGCCCCATGGGGCCGCAGGCCCCGGGCTGGGTCTGTGTTACCTTTGGATCCATCTCTGCCTTCTCTTCCCTCTTACTCTGAATGACCATCTGGAGGCTACCCTGGCTGTACTCCATCACCAGACAGAGGGACAGAGAGGAGACCTGTGGGGACACAAGGCCCTTCACCGGCTGCCCCAGCCAGGCCCAGATACTCTGTGGCGTCACTGCTTTGGTCACACTGCTGGCTGGAGGCCCTGCCTCTTGTCTCCCCATTCCCAGGCACCGCCACCCCAGGTTCTATCTGCTCCCAGTTGCTTGGCCTTTCCCGACAGCTGCAGCCACTGGAAGTGGGGACCCCTCTGCTGGGATTACCCTCACCCTTCACAGGTGGCAGCTTCCCTGGGTGTCAGCTGAGATGCACTTCCTCTGAGGAGCCTGTCTTGCTCCCTTCATAGTGACCTGTCTTCTTGGCTTTTTTGCCCCTTCCCTGACAGCGTCAGGGGGTACTTCACAATATGTGTGGGAGCATGCAGGGGGGCCTTTCCCCTGGCTTCCCCGGGCCTGGCTGCTGGGTAGGACCCCCTGGTCCAGTGGGACACTGACATGGATATGTGGAGAGGTGGCCAAGGCCTGCCAGCCTGGAGTTTCTGGAAAGCTCCAGCTCCTTGAAGCGATAAGAAGTCATACCTGAAGGGACCCAGGGCATGGGCAAGAAGCCTGGATTTGAACCCCACTCAACTCTTTACTAGCTGTGTGGCTTTGGGGAGCTCCATGACCTCTCTGAGCCCCATTAGGAAAATGAGGACAGTACTTCCAGCCCTGTGGATCTCCCAGGATGTGAGCAGACATGGAGCCAGTTAGTAAACTGTGCAGGACCTGTGGGAGTGAGGGGCCTGGGGGCCGGGATAACTGGGTGGCAAATGGCAGTGGGAGGCAGAGCAGCAGCTCCCTAGGACCAGCCTCTTCCCCCTGGAATGCAGGCTCCTGTCAGCCATGCAGACTTGCTCGGCTGGGGCTGCAGGTGGGGAGCTGGAGTGGGGCCACCAGGCTGGGTCCCCTGCATGCCACATGTGAGCCAGGAAGCCTAAAGGAATGTGGCACTCGTTGGCAGCCCTCCTAGGAGGAGGTCCTTGAGGGCTCACCTGGAATTGCGCACAGTAAGCCCCCAGGTGGTTCCCACCCCCACAGCTGTTGAGTGGGGGCTGCCACACTCAGCCCGGCAGCGCCTTGTGGGCGGGGCACACTCAGTGGGCTTGGTGCTGCAGCCCAGCTGCAGGTGCCACCTGACCCACCTCACTGTTCCACGTGATGAACAGCTCCTGGTACAGGGAGATGTGGGCGTGCTGAAGCTTTAGCAGAGGCCTGAGCTGTGGGGATGAGAGGGAGGAAACCGTGGTCAGGGAAGCACAGTGTGCAGCTGGTGCTCCTCTGTCACATATCCCAACAGAAAGGCAAGCTGCTGGCTCTGGCAAGGCAGGGGAGCCTTATGGCTAACTGCCGGAAGGTCTGGTATGAGGCCAGTCCCAGCATGCACTGCTGTGCTGTGTGACGGAGACAGACCGTCAGCATCTCTGAGCCTCATGTGTTCATCTGAAAACAGCAGTGGGCTGGGGTGTGGCTCAGTGGCAGAGTTCTTGTTTAGCATGCACATGGCCCTGAATTCCCTTCCCAGCTCTGCAAAAAATAAAACTGAAAATTAAAATGGTGGTTCCCGTGGAACCTGCCTCACGGGGAGGTGATGCAGGTCAAGTGATGGTGTGCAGGATATGTCACCTTTGGGGCTGGCTGGGGCAGGTGAGCCCACCTGAAGTTCCCTTGACCCAGCAGAGTGCTTTGAAAACAAACCAAGGTGGGCATCAGGAACAATTAACCTGGAGAAAATGGGCTGATGGACTGCTCAGATGCTGGCCAGGCGTGAGCAGCTTGCTTGACGGCAGTGTAAGTGTTCCCCACATCAGAACATGCCCAGGCCCACCCTGTGCTTCAGTCACACTGTGGACCCAAGAGGTGCCTAGCCAGCAAGGCACAGGGTGGGCAATTCCAGAAAGAGGACCAAACAGTGACCATAAGGGAGAAGATACATTTCACCCCATATAAAATTCTAGAAAGGCAAAGAAAAGCTACTCACAGCCTCTATTTATCGATTTGATAAATTGCCAATATTGTAAATCAGGCTGCTGCCACTGGTCCATTCCAGATGGTAGAATTAAGATGGTAGAATTACATTTTCATTATTAAATAATTCTGCATTTCCCAAAATTTGCACTGTAACTAATACTTCATAGTTGAAGGAAAAAAAAGTTTCTCTTTTACAGTGCTGGGGGTGAACCCAGGGCCTTTCCAGTCAAGCACTCTGGACTGAACTGCACCTCAGCCCTAAACAAAATCATCTTTTTGAGAGATGGTTATTGGTGGATTAGCCTAGGGACTGAGCCAACAGTTAAGCTTCATCTCCTTTGGGAAGGTGTGTTCTAAATGGGCAGTTCCTGCATTTAGAAGTGGGTGTTTGGGGTATGGACTCCCTTGAGGACCTGGCCAAGAACTAATTATGACTTTCCTTCATCCTGTCACTCAACAAGGGGGTGCAGAACAGTCTCTATAAGTATGCTGCATCCTGTTCCTCTAGAGAGAACACTGTCCAGAGAGTCACCTCCTCCAGGGCCTCATTGGTATGATGCTCATCAAGGCATTCCACCTGGAGGGACACAGGGGCACCGGGTCAGTGAGCCTCTTCAACTACCATCACCCTCACTATGGCCTCACTCTCATCACTACTGCCATCCTCATCAACCCCTCCTCCATCACCTCCACTGCCATCCCCATCCCCAACCCTGTGACCTGCCCATCATCACCACCCCCATGACCCCACCCCCACCTCTGCCATCACCACGGACACCATGACCCCCCCATCATCCCACTCCCACCCCCACTATCAGTATCACTAAAACCTCCACCATCATTAGCACCACTGTCATCACCGTCACTACCACCCCACTATCCCAGCCCACCCCCACACATGACTGTCATCACTGCCGTGACCCCCCCATCACCCCACCATATGCACGGTGATCATCACGGCCACCACTGCCATCATGAGTAGGATAGTCAGCCAGGATACTCTGAAAGCCTTGAAAAGGCCCAGAAATCCCTCTCCTGGAGCTCCTCCCTGAGGAGACCACGATGCTCAAGAAGAAAACATTTGTGAGGATGTCCATCAGCCCTATTTATACCAGTGAGGAACTGAGAATGGGCAGACCACTCGTCCCACATGAGTTGACAGTTGGGTCAACCACAGCACATCAAGCAAGAGAGGTGGCCACACGGCCACCAGATCAGGAGAGGAGGAAGCTGTGGTGCTGAAATGGGGCAGTTTCCGCAATCTATTAGGTGGACAAAGGATACCATCAGCTTCAGCAATATACCACTCTTATAAAAACAAAGTTTATAAATGCTTAGGAAAAAGACTAGAGGAACACACACACTCCCTCCCATATATTCCCCCCTCTCTCTCTCTCTCTCTTTATATATATATATATGGAAAAATGCCTTATTTGCTAATTATTTATAGATTGATTTGCAGTACTGGGGGCAGAACCCAGGCGTGATGCACGCTAGGCAAGTGCTCTACCCCTGAGCCACATCCCTAGCCCACTGGCTGGGCTTTTAAAAAGGTCTCCTGGCTCATTGATCTGTGAGATGAGAGGGCTGACCCCTGGGCCAGCCAGCAACAGAACAGGAGGTGGACAAGGACTCCAGGACCAGCTACCTAGGGATGAGGCTGCTTGCTGGGTTGCATAGACACAGGCCTGGCGGATCTGCGGCTGCTAATGAGGTTCCTTTATCTACAGGGTTAGTTCCTGCTCCCCCGTGTACCTGTCCCCACTTGAGAGAGAAGGGTGTGCCAGCCACTCTTATAGCAGCTCTCTTCCCCTGGACCTTCTGTTGAGCACAGGAAGGGATGCACCTCCACCCTGCTGCCTTAGCCCTGGTGAAGAGATTCCAGGTCCTGTCCTTAGCCTTGTGTGACCCTGGGCTAGTCCCTGCTCTCTGGGTCTGGTTCCCTTTTGGTAAGACTGGCAAACTGTAAAGAGTAGCATTGTGCCCACAGAAGTCAAATCCTCATGGATCCTGTGTGATCTGATTAGGATGGGATGGCCCCAAGCCAATCTCTGTAAAATGGGGTCACGGTTCCTGTTTGACAGGATCAGGGATATTCAGTGGATTGATGCCTGGCACCCAGTATGGATGAGTGAATGGTAGATGTAGGTGGTGGAGTAAAAATCAGCATTTCTTTCCTGTCAAGGTAGAGGGCAGAGGCTCCAAGTCTGGGGAGCCCCATGCCACCCCCCACATCTTCCCCAGCTAGGTTTGCTGCCTGCTGCCAACAGGGGTCCTGGAAGCCTCCTCTGAGGGATGATGTGCTCTTCCTGGTTCATTGGGCTCTGCTTCTTACCTGCTTTATCACGAGCTTGGCTTCAGTGGCCAGTTCCTTCACCACCAGGTTCACCCCTAAGGCCCCAGGACTCAGCTGGTACAAAATCTAGCAGCAAGGGAGAGAAACTTTGAAGAGGAAACCACCTTGCACTTCCCAGTACAAACCCAACTCCCATACCTTGGCTGGTGCTTCCCACAGCCCCTGGGGGCTGGCACCATCTCCTCCTATTTTGCAATAGAGGATATGGCCCAGGGAGTCTATTTCTCTCTCTCCAAGGCCAATTTTGAAGTTTCTATGACTCCATACTCCTTCTCCAACCTATAGGGAGGGCCTTTGGGAGTCTAAGAGCAAGAACTGATCTGGGGCAGGGGGCTTATTCACTCTTTTTTTTTTTGAGTTTGGGGGGGGGGGGGAGAGGGGGAGGGAGAGAATTTTTAATATTTATTTATTTTTTTTGTTTTCGGCAGACACAACATCTTTGTATGTGGTGCTGAGGATCGAACCCGGGCCGCACGCACGCCAGGTGAGCGCACTACCGTTTGAGCCACATCCCCAGCCCCAGATTATTCACTCTTTTAGGCCCCCATGACCCCAACTTCCAGCATCTACCTCCAAACTGAGCATCTAAAGAAGGCAACTTGTCCCTGTGACTGCTACTACCAGTCATGGCCATCCCAGGGTTATGTGGATACTTCTTAACCACCCTAGTGGGAATGGAAAGCAGGACTCAGAAGAGGTGATATAGGATGAGACACTGAATCAGATTTTGGGGTGTAAAGTCAGGATTCTGTAATCCAGCCTCTGTGTGGCCTGGACTCTGCTCAGGGAATAATGTTCCAAGAAGCATAAATCAACAGGGCCAGAGGTCAGGTGCAAGAATTCTCAGTAAAATACAGTGCATTAGACAGTAAAATACACCCACATCTCAATTAAGACTTCTTCTCCCCCCTGAAAAGTAACCTTAAAAATTCTCTGACCACTAAAAATGCTTATGCTTTACCCCGGGTAGTTCCCCCTCATAAACAGAATCTCCCAACAGTAGGAAAATCTAATTGTGATTTTCAAATTAGTGAAATTTTTACAAATACTGAATCTAATATTTAATGAAAATGATATGGAAAGTATAGAAGCATTTAATTAAATGTCCATTAACGGCTTTCCTCTGTTTTGAAACTGCTCTGGTAAAAAAAAATATGACCAATATAAAAATAAAAAAAATAAAAAGAAACTGCTCTGGTATGGTTCATTTTAGCAGACCTAGGCTGAGGGGTGTTTTTTAGCAGACTTAGACGGGGCTCCTGCCGTGTGCTCTGGGCTTGCTTTTGCCTCTAGAGGCCCCCATGGCTAGGAGGTCGGAGGAGCTACCCACAACCTCAAAAGGTCAGTGCTGGAAGCCCTTACTGTTCATCATTTTAAAGGGGGACAGAGACCCAGAGAGGTTGTGGCCTTCTAGCTGGAGGCTGACCCTACTGGGACATGGGCTCCGCCTCCCTAGGCGGACCTGGTGCTGGGTGGGCTGTGACCGTTGCCCCGCGGCGCGCAGACTTTGGGCTCGGGCAGCCTGTCCCCGCAAGGGGACATCACGGCACCTGGTATTTTTCCATGGTAGCTCGAGCAGAAGAACTTCGGCTCACTCTCCCTCCGGAGGCCACTGTATGTCCTCGCCTGGAGCCGGAGCGGGCGGCCGGACCCTGGACTGAGCGTGCTCTGCAGTGTTGGCTCCGGTGCCCATCACCCCCCCCCCCCCGCACCTCGTGCCCTCGCCCAGGGGCGACCCTCAACCGGGGTGTGTCTGCCTGACTCTGGACAAACGAGCGTCCCCCACCCGCGCGCCCTCGGCTACCGGTGCCTTAAAGGAGCTGAGGCCCAGAGAGCGGGGCGGGGCCTCGAGCATGAGGGCGGATCCAGAGAGAGGTGGGTGGAGGCTGTGGACGGTGAGCTTGATCGGGACAAGGGGCGGGGCCTCGAGCTTAGAGGGCGAGGAGGCAGTGGTAGGCGGGAGAGGCGAGAGAGAGGGGGCGGGGCCTGGGGCCTGAAGGGCAGTGGGCGGTGCACTAAATGGGGGAAGCCTCAAGCGCGGTGGGGGGAGATGCGGGCGGAGGGCGGGGCCTGGAGAATGACGAGAGAGTGACAGCGAGTGATGGACGGGGTCTTCAGGGTGTAGGAGGGCTAGCGGAGGGCGCGACCCCGAAAAGCGGGGCGGGGCAGTAGTTCATGGTGGGCGGGACCTCGAATGAGAAGGACGGGGCGGTGGCGCGCGGCGGGTGGTGCCTGTGGAGCGCCAGGAGGGACATGGAGCGCGAGAGGCGGAGCCAGAGCGTGAGGGCGCGCGGTGGGTGGGGCGGACGGCGAGGGCGCGCGGCGGGCGGGGCGCGGAGGCGGGGCGGCGGCGCGCACGCGGCCCCTTTAAGGCTTGGCCTACGTGGCAGCCGCTGGAGCCGCGCCGCGCAGCGAGGCCGGCCGCCGGGCACTTCCTGTGGAGGCCGCAGCGGGCCGAGCGCGAGCGCCGAGCAGCAGCCAGCCGAGCCTGCCGCCGCCATGGGCCAGAACGACCTGATGGGCACGGCCGAGGACTTCGCCGACCAGGTGCGGCCCGCCGCCCCGCGGCCCCGGCCCCGGCCCCGGCCCCTCCGCCGCCTCCCTCCCCGCCCGGCGCGGCCCGGCCTCCCCGCCGCCCAGCGCCCGGGGTCCGACCCGAGGGGGCGCGGGCGGCGGCCCCGGGCGGCGAGGCGGCCCCCACG